CCCCCTCCCGAAACTGTTGGGCGCTCGGTCCACGACCGAGTGCCCAACTCTTCAGAGGGGGGTGACACCAAAATGACTGTCAATCATTTTGGTGTCAACCCTCCAATGGTGTCACCCGGGTGCCACACCCCCCTTGTGACGCCACTGCCTGAACTCCATCATTTGGAGGGAGGTCCACAAAGTTTTGACCATGAATGCAGGTGTGGAGAGAGAGACTCTACAAATCTATATCCAGTACATATGGAGATATAGAACAATGTACTTACAGATAGACTCGGAACATTTACTTGCTGGAAATACACTCCAGGTTCCCATTAATAAGTCTGTTTTCTTAAAGATGAAGATCATATTCTGCCAGTTACCATTTCACGAATGGCCGCTTCTGGGGGGCCCCTGATGAATCTGCCTCCAGAGGGCAAATTATTTCTGAAAGAGCCACCGCTGCTATTTTTTCCTGGAGTTTCCCCCAAGAGAACCATTTGTAACCTCTTTACAGCTAAGGAGCATCCTGGGACTTATAATGGTTTGTTATTGATACTTTGTTTCCAGGCAGCTTTTTGGGCCCGTTTGCACTTCTGAGTAAAACCGCCTGCCCCTACCTTGCTCCTGCTCCTGCCTTGCTCCTATCTGCTCCTGCTCCTATCTGCTCCTGCTCCTACCTTGCTCCTACCTGCTCCTACCTTGCTCCTACCTTGCTCCTATCTGCTCCTGCTCCTATCTGCCCCTACCTTGCTCCTGCTCCTGCCTTGCTCCTATCTGCTCCTGCTCCTACCTTGCTCCTATCTGCTCCTGCTCCTATCTGCTCCTGCTCCTACCTTGCTCCTACCTGCTCCTACCTTGCTCCTACCTTGCTCCTATCTGCTCCTGCTCCTATCTGCCCCTACCTTGCTCCTGCTCCTGCCTTGCTCCTATCTGCTCCTGCTCCTACCTTGCTCCTATCTGCTCCTGCTCCTATCTGCTCCTGCTCCTACCTTGCTCCTACCTGCTCCTACCTTGCTCCTACCTTGCTCCTATCTGCTCCTGCTCCTATCTGCTCCTGCCTTGCTCCTATCTGCTCCTGCTCCTGCTCCTACCTTGCTCCTATCTGCTCCTGCTCCTATCTGCTCCTGCTCCTACCTTGCTCCTACCTGCTCCTACCTTGCTCCTACCTTGCTCCTATCTGCTCCTGCTCCTATCTGCTCCTGCTCCTACCTTGCTCCTACCTGCTCCTACCTTGCTCCTACCTGCTCCTGCTCCTACCTTGCTCCTACTCCTACCTTGCTCCTACCTGCTCCTACCTTGCTCCTGCTCCTACCTTGCTCCTGCTCCTACCTTGCCAACATTTAATTTTTATAGTCCAATTAAACTTTCAGCCAAATAAATTCCGGGTGCATCAAAACAAAAGCATGCTACAAGGTGCATTTTCCTTAAATAAGCAGCCACAGCCTGAGGATAAAAGCCTGTGCCCTGCCAGCATGTTGTAGATAACCCTTGCGCTCTGTGTAAAAGCAGTGGTCTCTCTGGAAAGGTCAGGCACAACTAGTGTCCAATCAGTAGAGAGCATGAGATCTGCTGATTGATTGTTGATAGATGTAGAAAGTTAGGAGCTCAGTGGATTTTAGGGATAAGCACAAGATCGGACCCGGTCCTAAACCTGAGCTCCTCCGAACCTGGGAAAAAATCTCCTCCGGACCGCCGGAGGAAGCTCCATCCGTGCCACCCAATCAGCTTTGGGCAGGGAATTCCCCACCCGCAGCATGACATCAGCAAAGGGGTGGGATGCAGTGACATCATTGACCTTATATGGCTACATGCCTATATTTGGTAAATTAGATACATGTGACCATATAAGGTGAACGACACCAGCACAAGCATCCCACCTCTTTCTTTACATGCAGCCGCAGGACGGGGAATGCCCAGCCCGCAGCTTATTGAGAGGCAGTACCCATGGCACTTCCTTGTTCGGAGGAGTTCAGGCCTGGGCTGGGTTCAGACGTGGTATTCAGAGCTGTCCTGTGTCCTCTGCACACTTCCTGTGTTATCTCCAAGAGCCCTCCTAGTTCCTGTCTTGGACTACAGAATTAATAGCCTTTATGCTGTTGAAATCTAAGGGTGGGAGCGGTTGAGTAGTTTAGTAAAAGACACTGGGAGTGCCGACACCACTAAGAGCCCAATAACTCACCTCATAGTTCTCCTTTGAGTTAATTTTAACACACAAAAACACAACAGAAAACCCATTTTTTAATAGGATATAAAAGATGAGGTCGTGCCGAATAGATACCCGACATGCCAAGCTTGAAAATTGCGTGCGTCCGGGAAATGGCGACAAAATACGGCACCTCAATTTGTCCATAAAGTGAAACTTGAAAAGCCTGTACAGGTCATGCATTTAGAGCTAACCATAAATATTTTCCCTAGAATGATTGCTTTCACTCTGGCGCACGTGGCGATACCGAACATGTGTGACACAATCACATGTGGGCGCACCCGAGGCGTGTTTTGTCTTAGTATGCGCTCATTAACGGGGCTGTGGGACATTTTGGGGGTATTTTTACATTTAATTTAATTTCTTTTTTCTACTTAACTTCACTGCCCTCACATGGGGGGGCCTCACAAGCCCCCTATGTGATATCACACTGGAGTGACCGGTGCTCTTTAGGGTGACATTTAGGGGTCTATTAGACTCCTGGTGTCACCTTTGCACTTCAGTGAAGCTTCTGTAGCCGTGGAATGACAGCTGAGGAGTCGGAAGTGATGCAATCAGCGTTGCTTCCGGCTTCAGGGCCCAGTCACACCATAAAGAGTGCGTTCGGCCTCTGGAACGCACCATCTGCTAACACCGGTGATGCCGGTACCGGGCCCGCAGGAGGGGCACCAGGGGCCCGCAGGGGGGGGGGCTTTGTTTACCGTCCCCTGGAAGCGATCTGAGGCCAGAATCACTTCTACTATAAACAGAGTATGTGACATCAGCCGGCTCCCCGGGGTAACTCTCCTGCGTCCAGCCCTGCGAACACTCTGTGGGGCCCATTTACTCAGAAGATAATTAGGCTCCAGGTGTATTTGGAGAATTCGGGAGAATCCCGTTCAGTCCTCAGAGAAGAAATGTACATTAGGGAGCCGCAAAGATCAAATGTAAGAACAACGCAGCGCAGCAACGCCGAGCGCCGAACAACAAAGGGAGCTGTGACAATCATTTTTTTCCGGGGTCATGTGACACCGTTCCATATCCTCTACAAAAAAAAACCCCATAACGCTGCACTTCCGGCAGAATCCAAATGTACCCATTAAAGTCGAATTCCAGCCGAGTACACAGACGATAGACATGCATAGGGCTGTTTTGTAGTTCTGTCCAGCCAGTCCTGAGATTTGCACAGCACAGCCCTGTCTGGTAGGACCCGATTTATTTCGACCGGAGTGTTGGAATTTGTAGTCCCACGACAGTCAACGAGCAACACGTAGCAAAAGGTTCGTTGGAATCACCATCCGGTAGCTGGATAATGGTGCGGGGTGCTGGGACTTGTAGTTCCAAAGCAGCCAAAGAAAGCAACCGCTAGAGGCTATTTGCTGATACTGAATTGCCCTCTGGCTGCTGCATAATGACCCGGAGTGCTGGGACTTGTAGTTCCACAGCAGCGAAAGAGCAACAAGTGGAGACTATTCAGTGGAAGTTAAACCGGCATTTGGCAGCTGGATAATGGTGTGGAGTGCTGGGACTTGTAGTTCCACAGCAGCCGAAAAGCAACAGGTAGAAACTGTTTGCTAAAACCGAATTGCCCTCTGATAGCTGGATAATGGGGGGGGGCTGGGACTTGTAGTTCCACAGCAGCCATAACAGGTAGAAGCTACATGCTGAAAATGAATGGCACGGAGCGCTGGGACTTGTAGTTCCACAGCAGCCGCAAATTAACAGGTAGAAACTGTTTGCTAAAACCGAATTGCCCTCTGATAGCTGGATAATGGTGATGGGGGTAGTGGTGCTGGGACTTGTAGTTCCACAGCAGCCAAAATGCAACAAGTAGAGACTACTTGCTGAAAATGAATGGCACGGAGCGCTGAGACTTGTAGTTCCACAGCAGCCATAACAGGTAGAAGCTATTTGCTGAAACTGAATTGCCCTCTGATAGCTGGATAATGGTGATGGGGTGCTGGGACTTGTAGTTCCACAGCACCCAAACTACAACAAGTGGAGACTATTTGCTGCAAATGAATGGCACAGAGCGCTGGGACTTGTAGTTCCACAGCAGCCATTTGTGATACTGAATTGCCCTCTGGCTGCTGCATAATGACCCGAAGTGCTGGGACTTGTAGTATTCAGTGGAAGTTACACCGGCATTTGGCAGCTGGATAATGGTGTGGAGTGCTGGGACTTGTAGTTCCACAGCAGACGAAAAGCAACAGGTAGAAACTGTTTGCTAAAACTGAATTGCCCTCTGATAGCTGGATAATGGTGTGTGTGTGTGGGGGGGGTGGTTCCTGGGATTTGTAGTTCCACAGCAGCCATAACAGGTAGAAGCTACATGCTGAAAATGAATGGCACGGAGCGCTGGGACTTGTTGTTCCACAGCAGCTGCAAATTAACAGGTAGAAGATATTTGCTGAAACTGAATGGCAGGGAGTGCTGGGACTTGTAGTTCCACGGCAGGCAAACTACAACAAGTGGAGCCTATTTGCTGAAAATGAATGGCACGGAACACTGGGACTTGTAGTTCCACACCTCCATGTCACCCAGTAGGATGCAGGTAGTCGCTCTTCTTCCTGACAGGTGCCTGAACTCTCAGAGCAGGATGTGAGCAGAGAAGATGGACGCCCCTGTCCTCCTCCTCCTGCCGGGCTTGGATGTCAGAGTGTTTCCTGCAGCTGTAGGGAGGGTGTGGTGGATTAGTTGGAGCTGGGTGTGTCCGCCTCTCTCCCTATGTTGCTGCTCTGCCTGTTCTTCGGGCCTCACCACTGTCTCCTGTTCTGACTTCACTGGGAGCCCTCCCTGCTGCCTGCACAGTGCCCTCCCTCTTCGCTCTCTCTCTCTCTGGAAGTCAGGTCTGTGATATGCACAGAGTGAAGTTGAGTCACACGGAGGGTGTGGTTACCCAGATCTCCCTCTCTTCCTCCTTCCTTCCTCCTCTTTCACGCTCTGTCCGTCAGGCTCAGGAGGGCACAGGAGCGTCACCTACACCCAGACCGCACCACCAGGTAAGCCGCTCTTCCTTTAAAAGTGTAGAGTTGAGGGGGGGCTACAAAGCTGACTTCGCAAGCGATGGCCGGCTCCAGAACTTCTCCGGCGACCGGAGTCAGGGCCAGGGTTTGCGTCAACCCTGGGCAGGAGAGGGTTAAGAGCCGTGTGTATGTATGCGCCAGCCACTGGGTACAAGGGTGCCAGGCACCGGACGGAGGGAGAGAGAGAGGGGGGGGCCACCACGGTGCTTTTAACCCACCCAGCCGCCCTCTCGTACCACCACCACCCTACCAGCCGTCAAGGATGGAGTGTCCCCGAATGGAATGTCACATCTGGAAGTTCTTACAGAAGCGAACATGAAAGAAAAGAGGAAGAGGGGGCCACGGGGCGCGATGCTTGACGGAGCCACTCCTGGCTCGATGGTGCTCGAAGTTTATTCACAACTTGTTACTGAAAGATCTGCCGAGACTCTTCGCGCTCTGATTGGTCCATTTTGTGGAACGTCAGAATGTTGAGCGAAGAGAGAGAGAGAGAGAGGAAAAAGAAGAGACTGCAGAGAAGGAAGAGGAGAAGCAACACAGAGCGGAGAGGAAATGTCACCCCATGGTGTCACCGGTGTCATTCACCAGCACCGCTGTCACCGGCTTCCAGGGACAGAGCAGAGGTTTTGGAAGCTTGCGTTGCCCGATGTTCGGTGCCGAGTCCATTCATATCATTAGTGTCTGGACTCATTTATATGTAACAAGAAGTCTTTACAGTCCAGTGGCCATGTCTCCGGTATGTGTTCCTAGTCATGTAGTAGGGTTGCCACTTGTTCCGGATTCACCTGGACAGTCCGGGTTTTGAGTCCTGTATGTGCTGTTTCTGGGTCAGCTAAAACCTGGATACAGGACTCAAAACCCGGACTGTCCAGGTGAATCCGGAACAAGTGGCAACCCTATCATGTAAGGACCCTTCATGTGTGGTCCCGTCAGCCCGTCTTTGACTCGTGATTACACGGATCAGAAACAGACTGCGGTACATCTCTATGGGCCGCCGGGTGAAGGCGCATCCGTCGACATCCGTGTGCATCCACGCCATTCAGGTTTGTCAGACCGACTGCAAAAAGTGTTGCGCATGTCGCTTTTACTGACCTGAATGGATATAGGCGGATGCACATTTGTTTACATCTGGCCACCCACAGTGATTTACATGCGTCTGGTTTTGAATGTCACATGTAATCTCCGTTCTGATCTGTCTGGGATTGGAGCCGCCTGTGTGAAAGGGGCCCAGGGGTTCGCTTGTCAAATTTTGTATCATCTTCCAATCTGTTCCAATCCCCTGCATTCCATCACAGCAAGAGGTCCATAGCCTGCTGGGTTGGATCAGAACAGAAACCGGTGTCGCATGTGACATGTGTGTCCATTTTTTTTTTTTCATCCATGTTGTGATGAAGGAAAAATGGACTCTTATAACCCCTATGGGACCCCCTATATGTGTCTGCGTATATACGCCCACATCCGTGAAAATCGGCCATGGACGCAGAATTCTTTACACTCGGTCTGGTGACCCTGAATGGACCCGGATGTCAACAGGTGCACATGTACTGACATTTGGCCGCCCTCATTGCAGCCCATGTTTGATCCATCTAATCACGGGTCAAGAATGGACTGACAGCCCATGTGAACGGGCCCTTATACCAACGTGAGGTAATCGGCATTTTTCTGTTCGGCTGAATGGGGTCCTCCAGTATACTTTTAAATTGCATCTAAAACTGTATGTGCGTGCGTGTGTGTGTGATGAGTTGTAGGTACCAACAAGCCGCATGTGTGATAGGATCTGACCAGTCCACATTGATTTCCAGACCAGGATGATGTTGGTATCTTTCAGGTGACCCTCTCCTACAGTGACAGCTCTTGTGGTCAGACAGTGCTACTGACCTATCCTTGGGAAGGAGGGAGGTCTGCAGGATTGTTTCGGCCTGTAGGGCCCGTTCAGACCACATCCAGATCATCTCCAGACCAGACCGGATTGTTTCCGGATCCAAAATGAAATGCATCCTATGCTATTTCTGGCCTCTGTTCACACCAGCGCAGTCTGTTCCAGACCAGTAAAACACTGCATGTCTCATTTTGTCTGGTCTGGAATGCACTGGAACGCATCAAAAACCCATGCAAACGCACTGGACTGCACCGAAAGCCCATTTTAAGCAAAAAATAAAAAATAACAGCTCCGTAACGCAGCAAAAACGCAATGCAACGCGTTCCAGATCTGGTCCGGAAAATGGCGTGAGCCTGGCCGTAGGCTGCTGTTTTCCTGGGATGAGAGCTATGGCTTGCCCTCATCTTTTTCTAGTGCGATCAGACTGCTTCATCTCATTAAAAATTAGGTATAACCATTTATTTCCCAACAACCAGTTGGGGACAGCCATGGCACAACCGCAGCTAACCCAACTTACTAGAAATTGTGATGCAAGTAAATGGTGGAGGGGCAGGTACAAGCAGGTTGGTGCCGCAGTCCAGTTCTCAGCAGCTGGTCAGGACATTCCTGGTGACCAAGTTTACTTGAAGCTGCAACAGAAGTAAATGGTGGAGCGGCAGGTACAACTAGGTTGGTGCCTTTCGTTGGAGCCAGTCGGTTCTTAGCAACCAGTCAGGGATGCTTACGGGACAATCGCAGCAAGCCAAGTTTACTTGTAGTTGCAATGAAAGTAAATGGTGGAGGGGTAGGTACAGGGGTAGGTACAATCGGGTAGGTGCCATCAGGTGCCACAGTCCAATTATCGGCAGCCGGTCAGGGATGGCTGTAGGACATTCCTGGTAACCAAGCTGCAACAGAAGCAAATGGTGGAGGAGCAGGTTGTTGCCATCAGTTGCGACAGACCAGCTCTCGGTAACCAATCGGCGAAGGCCTCAGGCCAACGGTGGCAATCCAAGGTCACTGGTAAATAGTGGAGGGGTCAAGTACAATCAGGTTGGTACCATCAAGGGGGCAGCCCAAGTTCAATCTCTGAACTTCCGTAGGTAAGTTCCTGCCATGGTACCCGTATAGGTCTTGGTAGTGAAGGGCTCCTGGAAGTTACCTTCGGCAGCTGAGAGGGAACGAATGATTGGGCAGTTTGTAGATTGCAATATAGACCGTATTGTTCTGCTGGCTGTTGTTCGAACTATAAATCCCAGCATGGCCTGCCGGCCTTCCTGAGAGTTGTGGTTCCATAACGCACACCCAGAAGGAAATCTCGAGCCTGCAGCAGCTCTATTTAGAAGCGTCACAAGTATTTTATTATAGCGAGGAGCTTGTGATTTCCAGAGGTTTGTAATTATCCAGAGGCCCAGGAAAGGGTGGAAGTGTGTAAGGTGGAATTTCGAGACAAGTGGGTAGAAGAGGAGCGAGGGGCACGGCGGTATATCGAAGGACTTTGAACCTGAAGGGGGGGGGCACTCTTGTAGCCAGAGCTGACTTAAGCCTTTTGTACCGGAGCCATGCTGAGGTAGCAGCACCTTTTGGGTTACTTGTAAGTAGGTGAAAGGTGAGAGGTGACTGAGCGCAGCGAATGACTCTGGGTGTTGGTTTGTTTGGGAGGGTTTTGGGGGCGTGAAGCTTCGCATTCCTCTGCTGACCTATTCACATTTCTATTCTAGAGATCTGGTCTCTGATCCGATTCCTGCTCGGAGAGAGCTGTCAGATGACGTTGTCCGTGGTGACTTTGTAGTCCATCGGCGGCGTGGACATGTGACTACAGTGCAATTTCTTGTCACTAGTGTTGAATGCCCCGGGGGGCCAGTCTCATGGTGTGTGTTGTCAGGAGACGCACACTGGCAGAGCCCCATGCGGTCATGGCAGTTTGTCACTCGTGTAGTATCGTTGTGAGTCTTGCAAGGTCACCGGATGGGAAATGGTTGCGTGTGACTTCCTTCCTACCCCCGTCTCTTGTGTTACATGTATTGCTTGTGACATGCCCTCCAACCGTCTAACGTCCAGGGACGATGGAAGCTCATGCAGAATTGTCCTTCGAGGGTCTTGGATAGGTCTTCCTTTTGGGAAGGAACTCTATGAAGAAATGTCACTGATACTCACTACCTTGTGAGTTACTGACCTGGAACAAGTACGCAGCCAGCGAAGTCTGAAAAGTCTTTCTTCCCATCCCATGACTTATTGGGCTACGGGGCCAGGATCAGGATGATCAATAGAAAATAACGCCACCAGCACTCCAAGGCTCTGAGCCTGATGAAGGGGACCCTTTGTGGCCCCGAAAAGCGCTTGCAGTTGAATGGCAATATGCTAATAAATCGACTATTGCTTTATTAACCCTTGGAGTGCTGGTGGCGTTATTTTCTATTGACTTTCTTCACGGTGCCATCCGTGGTCGCTACAAGCACCCACCCGTCCAGACGGGTCCCCTTCCCCTCCGGTAAGGAGTGCAGCAAGAACTCTTGATCTTAGGATCAGGATGATGACGCATTTAAAAACAGTGATGGTAGCGCCCGTATTCATAATAAAGGCGTGCTTCAGTCATGTAAAGTGGAACAAAAGTCCGCTTCACTTCTCTCCACTCCAGCCATGCGTTGTCCACGCTGTCCCACATTGGCGGCTCGTTGTACCAGCCCATGCCGTGTGTCAGTATGTGTTGTGTTATGTTGTCCCTTTTTTAAAATGAATGAGCTGCCACCGCACCACAACCGACCAATAATGGTGCATGCGCCATTTCCGACAACGCACATCAGTCGGCAAGGTGTGTTGGGGTGCCATTCAGAATGAACCCCAACGCATGAAGCTCGTGTTATTGCAACACCATGGTGTGAATGGGTACTTAGTGACTGTTGTGATCTTTCCTGCCAGAAAGTTTTTATTTTTTGAAGTGTATGTATAGGTAAAACTGTTTTTTACAGGGAAGGGTTAAACCCCTGCCAGGTTAATCGTTCCCTTCCTTCATAACAGGAAGTGAGGGGGACTCCCATCTTAGACAGTTGTCACCAGAAAGGCCTCATTCACACGAGAAACGGCCGGCACGTACAGCTCCATGCTGCGTGCACGGCCG